AAAGGCATCAGGACGGGGACATGAATAGGAAGGATTTAGAGGGATATGGGCCAAATGCTGGTAGATTCGACTAGATTAATTTGGGATATCTGTTCGGTGTAGACAAGTTGGACTGAAGGGTCTGTTTCCGTGCTGTACAGCTCTATGGCTCTATGTTTCTATATGCTTGTCCTGTAATGGATATTGTGACTATTGACTAATTGAAGACATAGAGAGAAATGTACAGCAATGGAAGGAATGGACTTGGGTTTGATTTTTGTGCGATGTCAGTTTTGAATAAGTACATAATGTACTTCTTTAAAAATTATGAACAAAAGGTTTACCCTTTATAAATATTTCTTCCTCGACAAAAACAGAAAGTGCTGGAGAGACTCAGCAGATCTGGCATAGCCTGTGGAGAGAGAAATAGAGTTAGCATTTCACATCCTGTGGCTATATGACAGAACTGTTTCTTCAGCTCCACAGACCTGCTGAGTTTCTCCAACAACTTCTGTTTGTGTTACAGATCTCCAAGACCCACAGCTCTTCATCTTATTGTTGCATTCTTTTCCTGAAAGCAGCCAACAGCGATTGCCAATCACTGCAGGGCTGTAGATGCTGCTAAAGGACACAAAACTGCCAGCCTGTAGAGTGGGCAATGGATCGGCAGAAGGAAGGTGTCAGCAGATGGCAGCGCATATGGGCAAGTTCAGGCTCCAAAATCCACTAACCACAGCGCACCCACCCACCCCACTTACTTTGAAGTTGGTGAGGTGTCACATTTCTAACCCAGTGTGGAATTTTACAATCAAGTAGCATGAGAAAGCTCACAAGTCCATTCTCTTGCTGACCAGTAACTTTTTAAAAATTAGGCACGGCGTTAAAGCAGATGAAAGAACAGAGAGAAGACAAAATCTTTAAAAGTGTCAGGGCCATCCATCTTCAAGCAGAGAAGGCTAAGGGAAGAGAGGTGTTCGAAACTGTGAACTGTTTGATGAAATTCCCAACGGTAGGAGGGTCAGCAACTAGAGAACACAGATTGAAGATATTTGAAGTGGACGAGGAGATTTTGTTTTTAGATAGAATTCAATGCATGAAAAGGAGGTAAAGACAGATTCAATAGTTACCTTTATAAAGGGATCAATAATTGAAAATGAGAAAGGGAAATGAAGTGGCACTAATTAGACGGTTCTTTAAAAAAACCCAGCACAGGCGCAATACACAGAATGGCCTTGTCCTGTGCTGAATGATTCTATGAATCTATAATAACTTTTATTGGTTCCAGTGAATAGAGTAAGAGTATTTCTAATGATGTGACAGGGTGTCAGTGAATTATAGGGCCCATGCAATATCAGGTACATAGACCATGTATCGTAGTGGTTGGTGATTGAATTAGCGAGTTCCTTTGGTTGCCTATAGGATACAGTCTGAACTCAGCCAGGCCTCAAAACCGTAAACAAGCAATATCTATGATTCCGTGATTAGACAGCACTTCCTGAATAACCCCAAGTGTACTAACAGCTGCATGAACAGCTGCATTAACAATTAGTCAACTCGTACTGTTTTGTTTGCAAGAAATTACCTACGTTTGTGCATAAAGGCCTATTCTCTGTGAACAAAAGGAACATGTAGCATCGGCCCAGGAGTTTAAGGGGCCTATAGTTCCCATTCCCTTACCTTCTTCGTGTCAACACCTTGGCTAAACAGAGTCAACTTGCTAACCAATCACATTCTGAAGAAGAGTTATTAGATTGGAAATGTTAAACACCGATCTCTCTTCACAGATGCTGCCAGACCTGCTGAGTTTCTCCAGCAATTTCTGTCTTTGTATGTCGATGAGCAATGAGCACCCTTTTCTCCTGTTGTATAAATTGCTGTGATTGTTTGAAATTTGGCATTCTTGCCTTTGTCCTGATAAACTGAACCTTACAGTTATAGTCATAGATCCCTACAACATGGAAGCAGGCCATTTGGTCCATCAAATTCACACCGGCCCTTCGAAAAGAATCCCACTCAGACCAATCCCCGACCCTATCCCTGTGACCCAGCATTTCCTGTGGCTAACTCACCTAACCTGACAATATGGGCAATTTAGCATGGCCAATCCACCTAACCTGCACAGGTCTGGACTGTGGGAGGAAACCGGAGCACCCGGAGGAAACCCACACAGACACGGGGAGAATGTGCAAACTCCACACAGACAGTCATCGAAAGGTGGAATCAAACCCGGGTCCCTGGCGCTGTGAGGCAGCAGTGCTAACCACTGAGCCACCGTGCCGCCTTGCATAAGTGTCAGGTTCCAGTTCTTGGATAAGTGTCAGGTTCAGCAGGTTTAACAATGGCTTTTCTTTGTGAGGCCCAGTGAGATGTCTTGATGTATTTTGCGAAACCCACCTCATTGATGACCCACCCTGGCCTATGATGACCCTCTCGCCTGAATCTAGTGCCTTTCTACCACTTGACGATGCTGGGAGAAGTTACTACCCACCAGATATCCACATCTGGAAAGCACTGGCATCCTTAAGCTTCCTCGATCATGGAAGGACAGTCTTTCTGAAGATGTCTGAAAAGGTGAAAATGATGCCCACGATTCTCCAACAGGGACCTGGAGGTCCATAAGAGGGCATCAGCTGCCCCCAAAGGGCCAGTAACGGAGGCTGTGGCACCAGACCCTGGCAGCCTGGTCTAAGGTCACCACCCAATCAGTGCAGTCTCTGCAGTCCAGAGGAACGGCCAGCAGTGCAACAGGAAGGTCCAATACCTTCTCCCCTCTGCCAGGGCAATACCATGCTCTTCTCTCTGCTACCTCTAGGTTACAAAGGGACATTGATAGGATGCAGAGCTGGGCTGAGAAGTGGCAGATGGAGTTTAACCCTAAAAAGTGTGAGGTGATTCATTTTGGAAGGACAAACTTGAAAGCAGAATACAGGGTTAACGGAAAGATTCTTGGCAGTGTGGAGGAGCAGAGGGATCTTGGGGTTCATGTTCACAGTTCCCTGAGAGCTGCCACCCAGGTGGATAGAGTTGTTAAGAAGGCGTATGGTGTGTTAGCTTTCATTAAGAGAGGGATTGAGTTCAAGAGCCATGAAGTTATGCTCCAGCTATACAAAAGCCTGGTCGGCCACATCTGGAGTATTGTGTCCAGTTCTGGTCGCCTCATTACAGGAAAGATATGAAAGGGTTAGAAAAGGTGCAAAGGAGATTTACCAGGATGTTGCCTGGAATGGAGGGAAGGTCGTACGAGGAAAGGTTGAGACAGCTAGGGCTTTTCTCTTTAGAACGACGAAGGATGAGAGGTGACTTGATAGAGGTGTACAAAATGATCAGAGGTATAGATAGAGTAGACAGCCAGAGACTTTTTCCTGGGGTGGAGGTTGCTTTTACGAGGGGACATAGTTTTAAAGTGAAAGGAGGTAGATATCGAGGAGACGTCAGAGGTAGGTTCTTTAGTCAGAGAGTGGTAGGGGCGTGGAATGCATTGCCAGAGAGGGTAGTGGAGTCAGCCTCATTAGGGACATTTAAGCGGCTATTAGATAGGCATATGGATGATAGTATAAGGTAGCGGTGGAGGTTGAATAGACCTTAGGTTTAGGGTAAAAGTTCGGCACAACGTCGTGGGCCAAAGGGCCTGTACTGTGCTGTACTGTTCTATGTTCTATGTTCTATGTTGTATGTTCACTCTATCGCTGCTGCTACACCAACCCACCCCCAGGGCTCCTGCTCTCCCACTCTCACTGTTGCCTGCAACATCTTCCCTCACTCACTGTTGTTAGCCCTCAGCCTCCCAAACCATTAATCCTCATGGTCTCTGTGCTGCCTATTTACTCCCCCACCTTCATCAGCATTAATGGCTGGGCCACCCACTTGCCTCTCACTCAATCCCTCCCCTTTCTCTCATTCCAGGAGGAAACAGCCCAGAAGAGGGCAGAAAGAGCCAGGATGGGTCAAGGCTGCCCAACACCAGCCTCACCGCAGCCCCCCGCTCCCAATTAGGAGGGTATTGTGTCCCTCAAATGAGAAAATGAGGTTCTGCAGTGACAATCATCTCCCACAAACCCAGTAAATACAACTCCTCATTCCACTGTAACTCTCACAGTAACCCCACTGTCAATGTCATTCCTCACACAACACATCCAAACACTGCCCGCTACACCTTCTCTCTCCTGTACCATGCAGGTACCTGCTCCCTCAGGCAGCATCCCCTCAACCTCAGAGGACGAGGTTACAGACACCTCAGAGGAAATCCTTGGCAAAGACAGCCTCCTGTACCTCCCAGCAGCTCAGATGCTGATAACTCCCGTGGGAACACTGGGTTTAGAGAGGATGGCAGCACAAGCTGGTGAACACCTCACCGCCACAGCTCCCCAGCTGAGGGAGAAACGCCTCAGGCCGCTGGCACTCGGAGGACTGAGGGAGACCTGCTCAACCTCAGGGAGGAGAGGACCCTGAGGTGTCAGCAATCGGGGTGAATTGAGGGACAGGAGGGCAGACAGGGATGTGGGAGGCAATGGTCCCTCATCGACCAGAATCTCCAGCAGTGCTGTGAGTAATGTGACTGTCTGACTGCCTCCATGGATAGGTTGGCAGCTGTTACAGAAAGTCAAGCCCTGTCCATGGTGAGCCAGGCCCAGTCCATGGAGAGACAGGCCCAGTCCATGGAGAGACAGGCCCAGCAGTGCCAGGGTCTACTGGGTTTGAACATAGCTACCTGATCCCCATCGCCCCAGCCAATGGTCTTCAGGACCAAAGCTATAATGACAGGGGGATGGGGGAGCCTTGGTGAATCTTGCCTCAAGGCCCAGAACGTAGTTAAGAGATGCAGCAAGCTGATCCTGTGACATCAGGACCAGCCTCTCTGGATTTGCCACACGATACTGCCACTTTTCTCACCATAACCCACGCAATTCAGGGACATATAAGATTCTAACGTTTGACATTTCAGCAATGTGTCTCTCCTTTCAGCATGACTTCATTTCCCCCACTCAACAATCGCCCGGATCTGCAACAGAACATTTTCTCACCAATCTGGTACTTTGTGCCAGAGAAATTTGCTGTGATAGCTCCTTTCTTTTTCTTCTTCATTCTGATGTTTCTTTTCCCAACTCCTGTGGTTTTATATGGCAGCCCACTCTTCAGTGTCAGACTTGAGGTCCCTTCGACATCTAAAGAGAGAACAGTTACACTGTACAGTGGTTTCAGGGTGTCGATGGGGCAACACGGCAAGGTTTCTGCATGTCTTTTCACCCGGTTCAAAAACAGCTAACATGTTAAGGTGGAAACAGTACCTCCCATCAATACCCCATCTTCAAAATCTTCCTTTAATCTTCATACAAGCTTAGGCTTTCTCAGTTTCAAACAACCTCTTACAAGGTTTTAGCCAACCACTTCTAGTCTGGAACTTTCAAAGCTATCTCCCTTAACCGCAGTAACCTATTTCTTAACAGTTCTGAACTATCTCCCCTCCTCAGGAACAACTGGCTTATACACCCAGTTTCTGCCCAGAACTTTGTAAACTAAACTGAAACCAAAGAGCTTTCTTCAGGCTATGGCTGTTTGCCTTAAGCCAAAGATAAAACACAATTCAGGAACCTTCTAACTGAACCTTCACACACAGCACCGGTTCCTCTGTTCACTTGTAAAGCACAAATGTAAACAAAACCCCAGACGTCCAAAATGGACCCTGGAAATGAACAGATCTGGAAAGTGGTCTGTGCTGGAATTTCAGGGACTGGAGCCAATGGCAAACACTGGAGCAGCCAGATAGGTGTCTGTGAATCATCAGCAGTTGGTTTGACCTGCAGAGGTGATGCAAGTACTGATACTGCAGAAAGTTCTGGAAAACCTCTGTTTCTCTCAACAGTTAACTTTCCGTGGATCTGTTTCCTCTTCCCAGGCCCCTTTCTGACAAGGTGGGAACTGGGACCCTGCCAGCAATTAGCCTGTACCTTTGCTTCCTCAATATAGACTTAGGAAACTGGTACGGCCCCACCAAAGACACTCAAACATTTAATAGAGACTTTCTTATTTGTATTCAAGGAACAGGAGGAACTCCCTTGTGTGTATGTCCATATATGGGACTGCATTTGCAGCTGGAAGGCTGCAGCTCTATACCCTAGCAAACAAGTAGGCTTGTCCTTAGCTATTGCATCTGACCAATAATATCCTTATGTGCTTCTTATTAGTTAAAAGCCACCACAGTAAAGCATTCTCCATCTGCATTAGAACTAGCAGAGAATTAGCTTTATTGTCACATGTACTCAAATGAAAAGTTTAGAAGTTGCCACTTAGGGCACCATCTTAGGTACAAAGGCATATGGGTAAAGATTCTTAAGTACAAATTCTTAGGGAAAAAAATTGAAAAATAAAGAAACAAAAAGTCCAGCATTATAGATCACAGGAACAAAATAGAAAAATAAATAAAAAGTTCAGCATTAAGTAAAGAACAAGAAATTAACACAAAGAAGAAAAAAATGTGTTTACAACAGGTATGATGTAAGTTGTGTAAACTCTATTGTAGAGTTTGGATATTGAACAAATGGCATGTAGGATTTGAGATAACAAGGTGTAGAGCTGGATGAACACAGCAGGCCAAGCAGCATCAGAGGAGCAGGAAAGCTGACGTTTTGGGCCTAGACCCTTCTTCAGAAATGGAGGATGGCATGTAGGATTTGTTTTTTTTAATTTATTTATGGGATGAGGGCATCTCTGGCCAGGCCAGAATTTATTGCCCATCTGTAATTACCCAAAAGGCAGATAGAAATCAACCACATTGCTATGGGTCTGGAGTCACATGTAGGCCAAACCAGGTAAGGATGGCAGATTTCCTTCCCTAAAGGACATTAGACATGTTTTTGCCAACATTCAACAATGGATTCATCATCATCATTAGACTCCTAATTCTAGATTTTTATTGAATTCAAATTCCATCATCTGCTATGGCAAGATTTGAACTCAGCTCCCAAGAACATTAGCTAAGATTCTGGATTAACAGTCTAACAATAATCACTAGGCCATTGCCTCCTCCAGTTTAAACAGGATTTAATGATTAACTTATAAGTAATTCTGCAGCTATGGTGATTTTTTTAAAAACACAGCATGACAGAGACAGACTTTCTAATGAGTACTGGATTTTCATTGTTTTCATTGATTGAGTTAGCAAGTGAACACATGAGACTTCAGTTAGAAGGGTCTTTTGTTGCTTAAGGCAAAAAATCATCACCTCAAGAAAGACTTTTGGTTTCAGTTCAGTTGGTGAACGTCCTGGCCAAAGCTGGGAGTATAAAACAGTTGTTCCTGAATAAGGGAGATTGTTTAGAACTGTTAAGAAACAGGTTACCACAGTATAGGGAGACAGTTTGAAAGTTCCAGGCTAGACATGGTTGCTTAAAACCCTGACAGAGTTTATTTGAAGCTGAGAAAATCTAAGTTTATTTGTATGAAGGATAAGGCTGGCTATCAGATTCTGAACATGGGGAATTGAAATCACAGCTAAATTAAACTCTGTCAACATGATAAGAGTAGTGAATTCTCTCCGGCATGCAAAATCTAAAGGAGAACTGTTAGGATTGATGTGATTGTACACCATGTGTTTCAAAATCTTTAAACTTGCAATTTATGTAAATGGTTTGATTTGTTCTATTTTATCTTCATTTCATGTCCATAGTTAATTTCTGTTTTATTGTTAAAACTAAATCTGCTGCATTGTATTTTTGTGTTTCAGTGAAAGACCACCTTGTTAAAACTATATAAAAACAACCAAATATGATCCATCAAGCCAGATTTCAGTCTGGAGTCTGACTTGTCCAGTAGTAATATTAGTGTGGACCATCATATACATGTCAGGTGGCAAATACAGTTGAGAATCAAGAGGATGGTTTAAAAGGGAGGTGGATAAGCATATCAGAGAAGGGGGATTATGAGGAAAGACTGGCAATTAACATTAGAGGAAATCCTAAAATCTTCTGTCGAAATTTCAACATTAAAAGTGTGATAAAAGGAGGACTCATCAATTTGGGACCAATAAAGGAGATTTAAACATGGAGGGCCAGGATATGGCTGAGGTACTCAAAGAATAGTTTACACCTGTCTTTACCAAGGAGGTGGATGCTAGAGCTTGTGTCACTCACTAGAAGTGTTCAAAATTGATCAAGAAGAGCTGTTGAATAGACAGTTAGTGCTTAGAGCTGATAAGGAACCAGGATCGGATGTGAAGCATCTTAGGAAAGGTTTGGAGGGATATAGGCTAGCAACAGGCAGGTGGGATTAGTTTCGTTTGGGATTATGGTCGGCATGGACTGATTGGACAGAAGAGTCTGTTTCCCTGCCATGAGACTCTTGAAATTACAGCAGCACTGACCATCATCTTCCCTGAACTCAAGGGAAGTGCCAGACGACTGGAGATTTTAAAAAAACGCGCCCTTGTTGAAAAAGGTTGTAAGTTAAAGGTTGTTGTTAAAAGGTTGTAAAACTCAGCAAGTACAGATTGGTTGGTTTAAAATCAGAAGTGGGGAAGCTTCAATTATTTGGGATAGAATTAGGTGAGTTAGCCATGGGAACTGCAGGGTTACAGGGAAAGGGAAGAGGGTGGGTCTGGGTGGGATGCTGTTCGGAGGGTCGGTGTGGACTCGATGGGCCAAATAGCCTGCTTCCGCACTGTAGGGAGTCTATGATTCCATGATAATTTATAGTCACATGGAAAAGGTGGGTTGGTGAAGAGAATTCAGCATGGATTTCTAACGGTGAAATTGTATTTTACTAACATTCTGCGGGTTTTTGAAGAGGTAACAGAAAGATTTGATCAGGCTACTGATAGGGTGTGCATGGACTTTCCAAAAGTATTTGATAGTGCCACACAAGAGGCTTGAGAGAGAAATTATAGGTCATGGAATAAAAGGGACAGTAGCCACATACAGGCAGAATTGATAGAGTAACAGGAAGCAGAAAGGAATGGTCAATGGATATTCTTCAGGTTGGAAGAAGGTTTGGAGTACAGTTCTCCAGGGGTCTGGTTTAGGAACATTGCTTTTCTGGATATATATGTAAATGATCTAGGTGTTTAGGAGACAGTCTCAGAGTTTGTGAACGATACCATATGTGGAAGTATTGTGAACTGTGAGAAGAACAGTACAGGGCCCCAAAAGGACATTGACCACTTGGCAGAGTGGGCAGACAGACAGCAGATGGAGGTCAATGCGGAGAAATGACAGAGAATGCACTTTGGAAGGAAGAACATATTTAAATACATTTACAAGGTGTGGGTATCGCTGGCAAGGCCAGCATTTATTGCCCATCCCTAATTGTCCAGGGGACAGCTAAGAGTTGACCATTTGCTGTGGGTCTGGAGTCACATGTAGGCCAGACCAGATAAGGATGGTAGATTTCCATCCCTAAAGGTCATTGGTGAACCAGATGGTTTGTATAATAATTGACAATGGTTACCATTACCATGTCATTGATTTTAAATTTCACCATCTGACACAGTGAGATCTGAACCCATGTCCCCAGAACATGAACCTGTGCCCTCTGTGTGACCTTACCCCTTCTTTCCATAGATACATTCAATGATGAAGCATGCACAATCCAGGCAATTCCAAAGATACCCAACCTTCGATGAAATCAGTTCCCCTCATCCCAGTCCTGAACAATCAGCCCCTTATCCTGGGACTATGCCCCCAGCTCCATGTTTTCAATTGGCTGACCCAGGGAAAAAGCCTCTCTCAGAAGGGGTTCGGACCCCCTCAGGATCCTATATGTTTCCATGCGATCCCCTGAGACTCCACAGATTACAGGTCCAGTTTACTCAGCCTCTCGTCTGAGGACAACCCCCTCATCAGAGGGACTGAGCATTCTTCTGCCTGCTTCCCACTCCAATTCCCTCGGGAAGCCCCTCCCAAAGGTGGCCCAGGCCTCTGCCCATTGGCCTTTGCCCAGTGCTTCCCCTCACTACATTTTTCAATCCTTTTACACCACCTCTTTCCGTCCCCCGCCAGCACGAGGAGATGCAGGGAGAATTCCTTCCTTTGTGCACAAAGCTGTTGGTCTGTGGTTTCAAATTCTCACTCCCCATGTGGTGACGCCAGAGGAAGGGAATTAACGCACTGAGTGTGAATCAAATAGCTGAGCTGGGATAATGTGCCAGCTGATTTGAGGGAGACAGAGTGAG